GGTCTTCAGACCCTTTGTTTTAAATCAAAAGTATTTCAAATCAAAGCAGAGTGTCTCCTGAATGTATGTTCCATTTGAGATCTCAGTTACAAAGCTGGTGGAATTATTTCCTTCACAGTATAACTGTTAATACCTCTGGCAAGGATTGGAAATGTTTTATGTCCAGCTTTACTTTTACTGAAGTGTGTTTCATTGTCTCATTAATCAGCTGTAAAAGACCATATTAAAAACCCTTTGTGTCTAATTAAAAAATAATTAGGATAACTGTTTATTTAATTGACTGCTCAATTAAATTGATCCCCCCCAAACCAGAAGACACTAGGCACTAGAAGAATTCGGTCGGCCGTCCCTGCTACAGTCAAATGCTATCATGGGGATAAGGTGTCGTTCACGGTATCTGCAGCGCAGCAGAAAATGCAGTTCTCCATGTGGACACACACACACATATATACTGTATAAACGTTTTATAAACGAACATGCAAACGTAAAGGAGTCGATTCGAAACCTTTTCAGGTACAATATGTGGCTGCATTTATTTTCTCTCGAAGAAGACGCTTCGCATCCCTAGCTTCTTGTCGACGGATGGGATCTGTTGGCTCCAAAGGAGATCCTGAATCGAGCGAAACACACACGGTTTTGATCCGTGCGCTGGAGAGCCCTCCTCTTCCCCGAGCCCAGCTGATACACAGCGCACCCTGGCCGGTCTCGACACGGTCCTGCACCCCCGTTCAGAACGGAGCAGCGCTGTCGGTCGGTATTTGGTGCCGCACAACAAAAGCGGTTAAAGCTTGTTAAAGGTTAAAAGGTTCCATCCCGTAAAAAAAAAATGCAATTTTAGGAGCCGGGGCTGGGCTATTTTATAAAGAGCTCATTTGAAAAGGGCTAATGTACCACTGTGGCTTTAAGAGACAACGGGTGGGATTTTGGAAAGACGAAAGAAAAAAGGCAGGAGAAACTAGGCGGAGTTTAAATGAATATTAATCATCTGATGGACTCCTTAGAGACAGTCCCCAGCTGGATGAAACACATTTGACAGAACCCATATAGAACTCGTTCTCTAGCATACAGGGTTTTAACCCAGCATTTTTTTAGAAGAAAAAGAGCGAATTCAATTGAGAACTGCAAACAGTTCATTTGCAAACGGCATTATTTCACTTCAGTTCTACAACTCAGCTCGAGTTAGGGAGACAACGCAACTTCTTACATCTCCGTATCTTTAGCCAACAACTTAGATTTTGAAAAGTTTGCATCCATTTATTCTGATCTCTTTCTCCCTCAACTAATATCGAAACCACCGTTGTTAAAATGGACACCATCCTAGACAACTTCACCTCCGAGAAACTTTTCCCTAACTCCAATCTCTTGGATTTAGAAGATCTGAATGAAGCCGACTTCCTCAGTAACGTGGTACGTAAACGATTGACTTACATTACTCATTTTCGTTATTTTAGATCCTTGACAAGGCACACTTATGTTTTCTAATAGCCTCTGAACCACTGTTAATGCAAAATATTCAAACCTAGTTTCAGAAGATGCATACACTACCGCATCACTGTTATAACGCGTCTCCTTTCTAACCCTGTGGCCACTGTTAATAAATGTGTCTTCCTAACCCTGTGGGAGCATATACCAAACGCTTCTGCAACGCTCTAAAATATCCCACATCAGAAAATGGCAAATGTATTTTTCCCAAAAACAAAACCCTTAAATGTTGTGTGGAACTTTTTGTAATGATTGTTCAGGGTTGCATCGTAACTCGACGCACCGGAACCCACGGGCAACCCAATTCGCGCAAGCGAGATCTTTTAGCGTTTACTTGTCAGCGTGGACAGCAAACTGTTTCATTTGTTAACACTCGGCGGCGGCCACTTGAGGACTGGTTTTCCGCGAAGAAAGTAAACACGGTTTCCGCCGCGAAGCAGCTGTTTTCGGGCCAGCGGAGCTGCCCCAGCTGTGCTCTAAACGCCGAGTCTGTTCTCGGAGCTCTGCCCCCGCGAGGAGGCGTGGCCCGGGCTCTTTCTCACGCCCACCCCGGCTCTTCTCCTCCCTAGACATCCCTATCCTGGTTAGCTCGCACATCCTGGTGGTGGTTGTTTATCGACCTCTTCGACTGAAGCTGCAGGGCGAATTCGAAAAACGCGTTTTGCCGTAGGTTGCGCAGTGCTATCTGGCTGAGTGTTGCGTTTGTGAGCGTCTTGAACGTGCAGGAGATCGGAAAGTGAACAGATGGGCTTGCGAGGCTGCCACGGTTTAAATTCGTTGTCGGATGCAAGACAAAACTGAATCTTTTTTTTGTGTGTGTGTGTTGCTTGATTAGACACCAGCGTGGAATCCCTCTCTAGCACCTTAAGTAAAGACCGCAAGCACCGCTGTGCTGCGATGGAGATGACGTTTGTCCAGTGTTTTTCATGTGGCGTGTTCACATGCGTTAACATACTTCACCAGACGTTTGCGGAAAAATGAAAATGTGTAGCTCTGACAGCACGCAGAGGTAACTCGTTGTCTGCGTGTTTAAAGTGGTCGACCAGGCGTATGTACCCTTCATTTCTGATCTCTTTTTTTTTTAATATCGGCTTTGTAGGAACTGTGGCGAATCAAAACCGCCGGACTTGGCCCGGACAAGATGTTTCATTTTAATCTTAATGAATAAATTGGCGCCCATCCAGTAACAATGTTTCTTATCTTATGCAGTATGACTCATGGGTTCTGTAAAAAAAACTGAAGGGGAAAAGCTGTATAAACTGTATCTGTAACGTCATCTTCATGGAAGAAAGAGTTGGCTTTTCTTGGACATCTAGATTGATTAGGAAGGGTACAGTATACAATATGTGGAATAGTGTTGATTATCACAGTTCTCTGCATGATGCACACTCATCTTCAGGTTGTGCAGTACAGCCAGACATCCCTGCATATTCTCGTAGTGTGAATGAGGTGGGGATTAAGTCACATCTCCCTAACTCTTGAAACTTGAAATCGGCACTGAAGGCCTGTCAGGGCTCCCACATACAGTAGTTACAATAGACTGTGGATGCAGACATCTTTTCACACTTCAACAATAAAGGGCTCTTGTTAGCTGGGCTTCAATGGCCTTTTTATCCTGTGTGCACTGACAGACTACTGAGGGAGGACCTGTATGTTTAGGTTAATTGGGCAGGGTCTGTTTCTGACTGCTGCCTCAGTGCTGTGTGGGGGCTGAATGAGGCCTGTGTGTCCAATAGGTCTTTGCTCCTGCAGTCACTGCCTCTCCACTCAAGCCCCTATTAAGGAAAGCCAAGTGGTGAGGACTGACCCAGTGAAAGGACTCTTTTGTGCATTAATAGGAAAAGCATCAAGTTGCAAAGGTGAAATCCAGCTGCCACTGTCAACGCAAAAACAAAGAGTAAATACAATGCTTTTCAGGCCTTTTTTTGTGGGGAGATTAAATCATCCTGTGTTTCCTGTGTTTAGATACTCATTTCATTTTATTTCCATTTTCTTCCATGTTTTTCAATGACCTCTTTTTTCAGTTCCGTTTAGTATTGACATGTAACATTGTGGCCGGCTAGGATAAAATAATCCCTAATGGAAAGGAAAAGAAACTGCAAGCTTCAACTGTAATAAAATATGCCTTATTCCTTACGTGACACTCGGGAGGTTAGTTCACCTCTTCATCTTTTTCTGTTGTTACTTGTGTACCCCCTGTTTCTGCTGTCTGAGAGGTATGAGGTGCATGGGTAAATGAGGCGCACTGAAGGTAAAACTGACTGCTTTTGCAAAACCTCAACTCTTGCATCGGCTCAGGTTTAAAAGCTCATCATGGACAAGGGAGATACATCAATCTTGTTCTCTTTCAAGGCTGCACTGCTCTATGTGGGATTCCCAGTTTGTTATTAAACAGAGTACATGAAACCAGTCGAGTGCTAGTTTGTCTTACAACATCTAAGACTCTTTAGAATCTGTTTTAACAAATGTGGCAATGATCTGATCTGACCCTCAAAGGAAGTGGTCAAAAAGTGGCTTTTCTCAACACATATTTCCGAGGGTTTTATTCCAAGTGAGATAAAGGGAGAAAGAGCTCAGCCCTTGATTTGACAAAAGAATCCAAATGATTCTTGGCACTGGTGAATAAGGTTCCTGTGAAATACAAATGAACACATTCCAAATGCGCCGGCAGAAATCCAATCCAAGATGTTCCAGTTAAGCAGTAGTTATCTTCTGTGCACAGGAATATTTGTTTTACATATATAATGTCATTTGAGGATTTTGTTCAAGGATATGGTTGTGACTCAGAAGAGATTTAAGAGCATGTCTTTAGTTTGGGCGCTGAGCGTCTGAGCTAGCACTGTAACATCCTACAAAGAAAGGTCTTGCTTTAGTGGGTAATAGTTATATACAGTAGCGGTTAGCTAAATCAATGCAAATGGCTCTATTTCTTCAGCAAAGTGCTGCTAAAATAATGCTGTATGCTCTTAGCTACCTAATTGCATTAGTTGCATCTATGCTTATTAATAGGAAAAGAAATCCCTGGTCTGACTCAGTTTGTGAGGTGCTCTGGAATAAATGACTAAGCTAAAATGAAAGTTAATAGCTGACGTGGAGAGAGACAGAGACATTCTAACTTCTGGCCACTCCACTCAAAGCGCTGTGCAGGTAATGGACTCCCTTCCACCACCACCACCACCACCAGTGTGCCAGTACTCTCCCCACACACCAGCTCTCAGTGGGGAGGAGAGCAGAGTGAAGAAGCCAGTTCAGAGATGGGGATTAAGAGGAGGACATGATTGGTCCTCCAATCATGATTGGGAATTGGGAATGATTGGGTCCTCCATGATTGGGAAATGTGGCCAGGACACAAGGGTTACACCCCTACTCTTTTTGAGAAACGCCCTGGGATTTTTAATGACCACAGAGAGTCAGAACCTCGGTTTTATATCTCATCCAAAGGACAGCGCCTTTTTTACAGTATAGTGTCCCCGTCACTATACTGGGGCGTTAGGTCCCACACAGACCGCAGGGTGAGCTCTTCCAGCAGCAGCCTTAGCTTTCCCAGGAGTCTCCTATTCAGATACTGGCCAGGCTCACACCTGCTGAGCTGCCAGCTGTGAGCTGCAGGGTGATGTAGCTGCTAACTCTTTGACTTTAATGCAGAGTACATTTTCATTAGTCATCATTTTCTATAAGTGTTTTATTGGTGTAATATAAGTGCAGTACTGGACCTTGTTTTAAAAGTGAAACAACAGTGCCCCAGTCAAGGTTTTGAACCAACAACCTCCTTATTTATTGCACCACAGACCTAACTAATCCTCAACAATGCTACTGCTTTAACAAAGGGCACGAAGCTACTTGGGCCTGTGTTCTTTCTCATGCACCTTCAATAATGTTATTTAATAAAGCCTTTTGGGGGGGAAAAAAATCAATTCTTGCCTGGAGACAGGTGTAACGGTGTAGCTGTGAGAGTGTCGAATCCTGCAGAAGGTGATTCTGCTGCAGGGGTTGGTTGAACTTCTGTGTCCTTGGGGAGAGAACAGTGCAGTCTGGTGGAAGCCTCTTTTGTTTATACTGTCAGTCAACTGTAATCTCTCATCATGTCCAATGACAGAAAAGAACATTGAAGAAATAGTTCTGAAGACACGAACCAATTAGTTTCAAAGCACTTGCTGGAATTACAAATAATTTAACATTCCTTGTAAGTCTGAAGTGTAAAACCATAGGCATGATGGAAGTTATTTGCACTTTTAGATACAAAAGCCACTCAATTGTCAAAAATAAGCTCTGAAAGTGAACTGTGCTCTGCAGGTTTTCAAATGGACAAATATTCAGGTAAAATTGAGGAAGTCAATTAGCAGGAAAGGAGTGCAAAATATGGAAATCTTTCACCAGTGGTTAAATTAGAAGATTGTTGCAAAGAATAATTTAATGTACTAACGGGATCACTTAAAACCTGTTAGACTGGGATAAAAATGTGGAACACTATGATTCCTGCACTACCCTGAACATCACTCTGTGATGTGACATCTTTCCTCAGACATTAGCGTGGGTTGGAGGGGCGGCTTTATGTTTGACGTGTTTGTACCTTTTGGCTTTCACCAGACAGGAAAAGCCTGCTCACCAACAAGCCAATCTCCTCTCGCTCCCTTCCCCACTGGGCCACGGCGCGTCTCTTGAACCCGGGCCCTGGTGCTTGTGAGAGCTTGTGGAGAGTAAGTACAAACCTCATAGGAATCTAAGAGTAACAAAAGACTCCATATGGACACACCACTGACTTGCTTAACCTGGACATCCTTTGTTTTGAAAATTGAAATTCCTAATACAGAGAGACAGCAGATCATGCAGTGGGACACAGTTGGTTTGGTAGAAGGAAGAATCAAAAGTAATTGATTGGGGAAGAATCTGTGCTTTGATTCCCACCCAAACACATACACTCATTT